TAATATTATTACATTCGGTCTTAATTAAATTTACAAGAGTCGGAAATGATTTAGGAGAATTATTATTTTCCTCACACTACTTTTTAATTCAGAGCACAACCAATTCTATTGGATTCAATACACAATAGTGAAAAGGTAATCTTAGTACTTTATGCCCATAATTCTGAGCTAGCCTAGCTTCTACAAGTTGTTTTTTGTGTAAAAATCCATAAAATATATTTCATTTTTTGATAAAAATTCTTGAATTTCAGCTTTGTTTGAATTAGTGTTTGGAATTTTACTCTTTAGTCTACAATGATACGGAGCATTATTTAAAATAATAACGCTATTTCTTTTTAATTTAGGTAGTAATTGCTGCTCAAACCACTTTTCAAACAAAGTACTGTCCATATCTTGATGATAATCTAAGCGACAATCACTTACACTCTTAGCAGAGAGTAATAAAGCATCTTCTACCCATCCTGATTCTCCCCCACAATGTAAAATACAAATTCTCTTCTCTCTAGAGGGAGTAACATTGGTGACGCAATTTTTACTACCATCGGTCCAACATTTTTAACTATATCGTGGGTGTCGAACCAAGTTTCATCCAAATAATACAAGTTCTTCCCTTCACTCCTAAAAGACCTTAGACTCTCCAAATAATCGAACCCCACTTTATTAAACGGCTCGATTCCATAATTGCCTGCCGTTTATTCACTGTTTTAAACACAAAACCATTAGATTTTAAAAACCTCCAAAAAGTAGTTTTATGGCACTCGGGGATTATATATTTGTTTCTTAATTTACTCAAAAGTTTATTTAAAGTTGGTAAGTTATTGACTGAACACATATTATATGATATATTGTTTCCCGTATAGCTGATAAATGAAAATTCGCTAATATTTGATGGGCACCAGAATTCTTTCGTTTTTTTTTTTTCGCAACACTGGACCGTCTTCGTACACAGTGGATCGTGGCACTTGTGTCAAAAAAACCATCTTTCTGATCGCTTCTGATTTAACCATCGTCGAAAGAAAACCTAAGAAAAAATATGTAATTTTACTTTTTAAGGAATTCTATGTTTTTTTATGAATTAATTAACGTAAACGTACGCACAATTCGGGTTTTTGGCAGATCTCAAACGGTAATACCGATAATAACATGTTGATTAGTATTTATAACACCTAGTACTATCAGGTACTCACAGCATAAATTCCAGCGAAATCCTACAATAAGAATTACTATAATTTAAAAACCAAAAAATGTCAACTTTTGCGTCATATTCCCAACAGGGGGGTAATATGACGCACTAGGAGTAAAAACTCAGAGTGATTAACTTTGCAACTTTTAATGAAATGAGGTGAAATAAAACTGTCTACACAACTGATATGGGAATTTAACAACAAAATTGAAGTGTCCACGACAAACATTAGGTTTTGGCAGGATTTTCTTAATTTGTTCCATTTTGACAATACCGATGTGTTCAGCTAATGGAAAGACGAACTGAATCTTTCCTTTCTTCATAAAGTTAACTTCCACGTCATCATTATTGATGCTAATGACTACGCCCACATAATATAATGGCTTGCTCTTTCCTGGAAACTCGACCAATACGTAGTCGTCGACGTTAACACTTTCTACACATTGGAGGAATACTCCTTATCTATTAAAAGTTGAGCATGCTGTTTCTTTTTCGCTACGGCAGGAGCATGACATTTTGGTACTGGTGACACAATTTGTAGAAGTTTCATAGGAGTTGCTTTTGTGGTTTTATGAAAATGTGCGTCACTACGCTTCTTCTTTGGAGTATTAAGTCAGAGTGAACCAAATGTACTGGGTTGAGGATCCAAGGCTGAGCTAACACTTTTGTCATCCTTGTTCATAAAGTTAGACTCCAAGGTTTCTTGTAGATAAGCGTAATCAGGAATAGAGGAGGGCGCGAATGGAAACACCTCGCAGGCCCGGAAGCCTGCTGAACGCTTAGATATTGTTGCAGCTTGTGACCAGGCTTTCTGTAGAAGTTGGCCGAAGTGCTTGCGTTCTATCTTGTTTACAGGATTTGCATTCCCCCATTCGATAGCTGCACTTCGGTAATAGGCCTTCAACGGTTTGAAGACCGATCGGTATTGAGTCGTGTGGCTCGGAAGGCAAAGAAAGTAAACATCATTCTCCAGCGCTATCTCTAATATGTCCGGCGATTTAGTGTGAGATCCGTCTTCGTCGAGCAGTAATAGGCATGTATCAGATACATTCCTTGGAATAAAGTCGTTTTGCAGCCAGTTTTCAAATAGGTCTTCATTTATGTAGGCTGATTTTTCACATCACCACTTCAGAACCGTTAGGCATATTATCGGGCCACACTTGTTGTTTGTATACATCTTTGAACACTACGTAGGGAGGTAAAAAACTTTCCTCTGCATTACAACAGGCAACAGCTGTCACTGTCTCTCCTTGTTTTTTTTCAAGATTTTTTCCGGTATATCAAATTTTTTAACTGCACCCCTAACTGAAGAGCCGTCTGCAACATCCCTGAAAGCAGCACGAAGATTATCTTCAGTCCAGCAGCCCCGCATATTCTTATACTTGTATACACTAACTTGGACATGCTTCATTTGATGGCAATGGTGGGTACTACCGTTTCCCAAAACCTTCCCCGCGCGAGCATGCATAATTTGAAAGATATTAAAAACGCGTGATATCCCTCACGTTTACCTTAATCGGTAAAAATGATTAACTTTCCTAATACCGGGTGGGCGAATTTTTGCCCCAGGTCAAACGTTTTTATTAATATCTGTAATTAAGTTTAATCGATCGCTTTGACGGTTTAGGACATTGGTAGTTGATGTATTAAGAGCACAAAGAAGTAGTAAAACCCAAAATACCGCGAACAGAAAATTAAATATTTTCGTCGGATTTCGCGAAATGTATGTGGGGCGAGAATTCGCCCCACGTGGTATCGAGTGTTTTCACGTTCTACAAATCTGATTTTATCAGTTTAGACGAAAGTTCTGGAAAATGGTTACTAATGACTGTAATAATTACTTGCCATGATGTGCAGTCGCATTCTTTACATATTAGCAGTTGAAGCATCACTTTCTAGTTGGGATTGTCTCTAAGAATTTGTAAAGTGCAATTAGCCCTAAGTACGTCTGATATCTGATAACTGCTAAAATTACCTGTTTATTTGGTGAGTTTCTGAATGTGACTGTCTTCTGTCTTTGATTTTTAATTTGTTAAATTGGTACTAAATAAAGTATACAGACAATAAAAGTTTAAAAAATAGTAAGAATAATGAAATACCAGAATCCTTGCGCTTAAAAGTGAACAAAGCTACTGGGGCGAGAAGTCGCCCACCTGGTACTGGTCGTTTTAAAATTCATCCGGTATTAGGAAGGTTAACTAAAGAGTATTTTTAACGAGTACTTACCGTTGTAAACGTTAAGCACGATTTGCTTTGCATCGTGTGTGAGATGAATATAACCAGAATGTTTTCCAGGTTCAGACTCGTCTTCACTTCCTGAAATAGTGGTATGAATGTACAGGACATCGTCACTAATCATTTCTATATCACTCATATATATATATATATATATATATATATATATATATATATATATATATATATAGTTATTACACCGACTTCTGTTCTAAATTAACGACAAAAAAAATGAAGTTCTTTTCAAATAAACATTCTGCTCACAGAAGCCCATTTAGGCCATAATTTCATATTAATTAAACATTATCCTTTTACCTGAATAAAATTTTAAAAAGTTTACTAATATCTTCTAAACACTCGCTTTATGTGACTAAATTCCAAGTACAAATGCATTTTTTTTTTTAACCTATTCTCTATCCTTCCATTGTTGGATATAGGTCTCCCCCAGTTCTCTCCATCTTTCCCTATCTTGAGCTGTTCTCTGCCATGTGGGACCTCCTTGTTTCCTGATGTCATCTTTCCACCTCATCTGTGGTCTGCCTCTTGATCTCTTTGCATTGTATGGACGCCACTTTCCGATGGCATTGTTCCATCGTCCGTCTTGGAGACGTTCATTGTGTCCAGCCCATTTCCATTTCAGTTTTGCTGCTTGTTCTATCGCGTCTACTGTCTTTGTTCTGGTTCTGATCCACTGGTTACGTTTTCTATCTCTAAGTGATACACCCAACATTTGTCTCTCCATCGCTCTTTGTGCCTTCCTTATCCTATCCAAATTGGCCTGTGTAAATGTCCATGTCTGTGCTCCGTAGGTGAGCACCGGTATGATACAGGAGTTATATACCTTGCTTCGTAAGTATAGAGGGATTGTTTGATTTTTTAGAACGTAAGAAAGTTTGCCGAACGCTGCCCATCCCATTCTTACTCGTCTCGATATTTCGGCTGTTTGATTTTCTCTATTAGCTCTGATTGCTTGTCCTAGATAGATATACTCATTTACCTGTTCTATTTTTTCTGTTTTTATTTTTATTGCCTCTTGGTCTTCCGTGTTTGTCATTACTTTTGTTTTGTTGAAGTTAATTTTTAAGCCTTTTTGCAGTGCAAATGCAATTAACTAATTAAATTTAAATAGGTATACAAAATTATGCTTAAAATTTTATTTACCAAATATTAACAACTTAAAATTGAAATACCTGAATACACCTACTTTGTATCATTTAGTAAAGTACCTTTAAACTTTGGATAGAATTAAAAATTGAACCTAATTTAACGAAAGACTAAGGGTGACTATTCGTTACAGCAGTAAGGGAGTACAGTCATTTTGTGCTTGATATCGGCCCAGTCTCTTAATCTGGGGAATTCCATCCGAAATATCTTGCAACGGATAGTCAACAAACTTTGTTTACATACAGATATTTTCAGATTCAAACATTGATCTTAGATAAATTTGATCACACTGTTTTTTATTCACTAAAACATTAAATGAATCTTGATATTATGTATGTTGATATTATTTATATTAAAATAAACAAACAATTTTCTTTGTAGATTGATTCTATGAATTAATTTAACATTTCTTTTTTAGAAGTAGAAATTCCACAGCGAGTAGACATAGTAGAAGATACTGAGCAAACCTCAGCAGAAGAGGAAAACTCCGAAAATAGCGAGAAACGCTTATACAACGGTTTCCAAGGTCCCCACAGCGAGAACGAACAAAACAACTTACCATTAAATGTCAGTTCATCATGTTCTATATCACGATTCCACAAACTGTATCCCGTTCTAATGATATTGCTTCAATTGTACTAAAGAATTACTGTCAATGTACTGACAGATAAAATAAATTGGCTGAAAGTCAAAATTTTGCGAGCATATGATCGGACACTAATTATAAACTACCTGAATCGGTTTGTCCTCATTGTAAAATGTATCCTATGAAAACAACAAAATTGTACCAATTAAAAAGCTACTTTGGACAACCTTTTATATTGTCCTATAGATATAAATTATATCCAATGAAAAAAAAACAAACAAAAATATCACATAAAGAGCTAATTTGGATAATACTTTGAAAATTTGAGAAGTTAAGTGCATACTATATCGGAAAAATAACTTTTAAAAAACAAATATAAAGTTACACTTCATTCCAACGGTTGACGAAGGAAATGTTCAACTATTATGAACTTCTCTTTTTCGTCAATTATAAGTTTCTGCTAGTGAAAATATTGATTATTATCACTAATTCATATTCGATGTATCAAAAAGTAGTTATACAGTTCAAATCAGACGTTAATTTAAATTAGTATGAAGTAAGAACTTTTAACGAAATTTAAAAAATGAATGTCAGCAACAATCTCGAACTAAAAATTACAACTAGCTGCTGCTCGAATTTTTTCGCTGTTGGAATTTAATGTATGTTCCAAGCTTTTAACATTTCATAGTGAATAAATAATTTTTATTAAAAAGTTAAATTTATTTTACTGATTTTCATAAAAAAAACACTACTTCATGTTCATGAAAAACTCACTAGACAATTTGGTATTAGTCTTTTGTATCTCATCAAATTTTTTGTTAAAAATAAACTAAAGCTATATAAACTTCTGTTTGAAGTTTTGGGTTACGATATGAAAGCGAAACGTCAAACAATTGTAGACGGTCATTGAAGAGGTGGATTCCAAAAGGTCTTAAGTAAAAAAAGTAAATATTTCAGGAACGAATTTTTTCTATGTTTAAGAATATAATTAAATGTTAATTTGGAATAAAATCAGTCATGTAATTTGCAGGTTCAAATTCTTGTTTTAAGACAATAATTGAAAGTAACATTTGGACACCAAATCATGGCTTTTAAGAAGTTAAACACTTGTTTTTTTTTTCAAAACGACCTTAAATCAGTGACTTACCACTTTTGGAAAATTCATGTGCGATATAACTTCATATAGTTATTCATTTGTAAGTTTATTAATAATCTTGTTTGTTTTGCTTGTTTTTAAGATGTCGGCAAAGGTTTAATAACTATCTAAGTACATAATTAAGATTTTTTTTATTCATCAAAATCAATTATTTACATTTTTGTCAAAATTTTAAAATGAAAGTTGAAAAATCTTTCAAATAAAAATAAATTTGAGAAGGTTTTCCACATCTTTTTCCTTCTTTTCACTTACATGATTTACTAATGGCATAAACTTCACTGTAATGTACACTCCCAGCAAATTGCACCATTTTCTTATAATCCTGTAGTATTTTTATTAATCTAATTTATTGTCTTTATTTATTATTAAAGTTTCTATTTATAACACTTACAAATTTATTAAAGTCTTTATTAAAATATTCACTAATTAATTACACAATATTTATTTATTTTTATTTCCGCGTACAATTATATTTTCGGACTCAAACTAACTCGAAATTCAAAACTAACTGTTTTCAACAAAATTCTCTTTCATGGATGAGTTTATTGATGATGTGATCATAACCGTTATTGACTGCTATTTGTCTGATAATGTTAAGTTCTTTTTGTAGTTTAAATGGGAAAGTGGAATGGTTTCCAGGCAATGGATGTAACTATGAAAAGCTGCATATTTATAAGACATGGGGTATTTAGATGAGAAGGGTATTACATGGTCAGTATGTGTGAGTTTCCTATAGATACTGAAGTCGAAGTGGTCATTTAATCTGGTAATAGTAAGATCAAGAAAATTGATTGACATGGATGATTCTAGTTTCATGGTGAACTTGATATTGGGGTGGATTTGATTAAGTTTAGAAAGTAATAGTTCAGCTGAATTGGAGTTACCTGAAATGAAGACTAAACAGTCGTCAACATAGCAAAACCAATAGAGTATTTCAGGATTTTTCATAATCTGTGTGGATTCTAAATGATCCATAAACACATCAGCTAATAGAGGGGAGAAACACTATCCATGGCTAAGCCGTCAGGTTGTCTATAATATTTGTTGTTAAAAACAAAGATTTTTATTATATACCTTTTATAAAGGATTTGAAATAAAAATTTTCTTTATAACGTTAAAAGTACTAGAATCACCAAAGTAGATATTTTTAGCTTCAATGATTTTATTTGAAAATAAAAAAACTCGTTGTTCACGAATCAAAAAACGGAGCTTTTTCAATAAAACTCATTTTGCAGCATCCATGAAATCAAAAAGTTCCCAGTCTTTTCCTAAAACTATAAATGTAGCTGAAGAATCAAACACTTCGTAGCACTCCTCTGGTTCAACTATTGTTTCTTTTCTTCTAAATATTTTTTCAAAACGTCCAAATACTCTATCAGGAGGCATATAGCTATATGCCTCCATGCCTTTCATGATTGGAAAGCAATGCTGAATATCACTAAACGCTCTGGAGGTCTGCACATAACTAAGTAGGAAACCCAAAACAGTGTCAATGATTTCGCTAAAACATTTTTAAACTTGTCTTCCAAAATCCCGAAAAAGTTATACAGAGCTGAAAATACTTTATTGTAGCCTCGCCCACTCCAGTTTTCAGTCCATGACCACACAAAAGTATTCGTAGAATCTTGTCGCTTGCTGAGAACATTAGTGACGTAACCTCAAAAACGTAGTTTGTAGTAAAGTGCGTTTAAAGTTTTGGGGGAAATGCAATCTTTGATTGCTCGGTAGCTGACTGACTTATTGACGTATTTTCGATTTTATTCATCTAGGTAAGCTAACAGTTCACATAATACAGTCGTTTAACTGATGACAGGGGTATTTTGACAATTTTTTTTCAAGTTGCGTCATTAATGCATTCAAGTACGTGGAACTTTTAAGATTTTGTGCGGTATTAGTGACGTATTATTTTATTAATTTGGATAAATTTATTAAAAACATGCTAATACAGTAACGCCTGTCAATAACGGTCACTAAAAATGACAGAACTATTGGCCGATATAAAAAGGTGGCCGCTAATACCAGGTTTTGTAGTCCACAAATTTTGGCTTGGGGAACTTTGTAACTTGCCGGCTAGTACAGGTGGCCAGTTTTGACAGGTGGTCGTTATAAATACCATTATAAATAAAACCAAGATATTTGATCTAATTTTTATTTAAAAACTTAAGTATAAACATTCAAGCCTTAAAATCAAAAATATTCCATAGAGTCGAAATGCATCAGATAAAGAGAGAATTTTTCCAACGGAATATTATTCTGCGACCTTATAATTCAATGCATTGAAGAAAGGAGCATGTATAGGTGGTATAGATTTATTTTGGACGAGAGATTGTAGGTCATCATACTTTTTCTTATTAATTTTAACAGTATCCAAATATGCTGGGGATAGATCATAATTTTGTAGTAGTTGAGTTATTCCGCTCCTTGTTTTTATTTCTGATTATAACTTTTAAATTCTGTGCTGTATAAGTTTTATAACGATCTGGATAATTTTGTCGACTTTAATCATAACTATATCATAAAGTTAAACTTTTCACCATTAATATTTACATTAAATGGCTGATTAGTACAATCGGATGTCATTTTTTTTAAGTCAACAAACTCATTATGAGCCATTTCATTGATTTTAAACATACTTCCTGTTTTACTAGCAGTACTTATTATTGCTGAGTATTGAGCTGGTAGGAAAATGGGGCCCGATTTCAAAGCTCGTTTGATGTTTTTTTCGATTATGGAGTGACTACTGTCACCTTCGTTTTGACCATGTCCCACTTCAAAAAATTTATGGATAATACTTTTTATTTTGAAATTAGTAACTGCATACAAAAAGGTGGTTACAACAAATTTATTTTTGCCTTGTCCTCCACAGTTATCTGAAAAGAAGACTACTTCCAAATTTTCAGAGTCAGCTCCATTAGCCGTTTTTCTTAAATATTTAAGTAGGCAAGAACCTATTTCAATGGATCCACGATTCCCTTCTCCTTCATGCCAAATATAGCACTCTACAGGACCAAGTCCTTTTTGTTGAAGGCTACAAACTGTAAAATTGTAGCAATTTAAACGAGACTTATAATAAAAGGCTGAAACGTCACCTTTAGGAAGTGGTAGAGCTGCTTGTAAATCGAAACAAGCTACGTGGAATAAGTTGGTAATATTGCTTTTGTCTGCATTTTTTTCTTGTCTGCTCAAGTTCTTTTCTAGAATATGAGATTCGTAATCATTTTTAAGGGCATTTTTACCATCCAGGTCAGAGTTCTCATAAGTTGTACATGTAAGGCACTGGTCTTTCTTTGGTGTATGAAATGACATGTTAAAATCATAATTGAAGATATGCCTGTACATAGACAACTTTCCATGATTTTTCCCACTATCATTACACCACTGAACATAATCACGGTACAGATCCATCGCTGTCTTGCCTTCATCACTGTCTTGCCTCCATCGATATACTTTTTCTGAGTATTCGCTCTTGTGTAATGACTCTCTACTGCAGGTATTGACGATAAGTGTTCATGCATACCTTTTTTTATTTCTTCGGGTACCTTATTTTTGCCTGTTTTACCCCTCTTTTCACTTTCCAAAAATCCGTCTTGCCGTTTTGAAGCTGTAGTTCTAATGAATCTTTCAGTGATCCCTAATGTAGATATAAAATATTTTTGACAAACTTGACGAGGATCGTCTTCTTTTGTAAAGTAGTAAGCTTTATTTAGTCCTCGCGGCCTCGTGTTAGTAGCATCTACTTTAATATATTTTTTCTGAATAGGACGCATGCAGTTCAGTACATACGACCTTTGACTGTGTAAATCAGCCAATTCCCAAAAACTGTCA